CAGCAACAACAACTAAAAATGTGGGAAAATTATCCCCAAATATTTCAACAGATTTAATTTTTAGCACATTTATTACATATCATGCACTTTCCGATGGAAACAATTACATATGTAAAACCATGGAACAATTGTCTAATAAAACTCACAATAAAATAGAGATTGTACGATATAAGGCCAATATATATGAACAAAAGGAGAAGTTAATTGCTCAAATAAACACACACCAACAACAAAATAAGAAGATGATAGGAATACGGAACTCATAATTTAACAAACTTTCAAAAGTGTTCATAAAACACATAAAAGTACAAAAAAATCATGACAATAAGAGAAATTATAGTACGAAAATAATAAAAAGGAAATTTATAAATAATCATACCCGTGTTTAGTACACAACAAGGAAAAACCCCCCACAAAGGGATATAAGTCAGACATACCACAGAACAAACAATCATAAGTTAAATATAAGAAAAAAGGCAACGGAACCAGATGACAAAAATAAACATTGAACAAAAATTTCAGGTATTGAAAAAATAGAAAGTACATCAAAACAACAAAAAGAATCTAAATTGCTAAAAAAAATAGATATAACCCTTTGTGTAAAATAGAATCTAAAAATTATAGTGCTACCTATGAAAAGGCAAACTAAGGCATAAATGAGAAACTGAATTATTACACACAGATCTTAAATGTCAAACTTTGGAATAAAAAAATTGAAAAAATGATAATAAACACAAACTCAAATCCCTAAAGAAAAATTAGGGAAGTTCTAAAATTTCAAACAGATTTATAATTTGCAAGAACTTCTGTTCCAAAAAGGATAAGAACGGAAGCAAAACGTTAGAACATCAACAACAACAGTTAAAATTATAAGGCAATGGATAAAATGGATTTCGAATATATTCATTGCTTCAGCTGCTAGCTGATTTATAGGTTACAAGAAGCTTCTAGAAATTACAGGTGGTAATTGATCCATATAATTAGGATGATGTAGGGAATCTATTTACAACAAGAAGTGGTGATGAAAAATCTGGTGCAACAGAAAATACAGCAAGGACAGAACCGTTAGTGCAAGGAGTGACCTGGAGGTTGAGGTGGAATGTTGAAGTGTAAATTAATTCTTTACACCCTCCCTCAAGCTAGATGGTACTAAGGTAACTCCAAGCTTGTCTTTAAGGAAGTTGAACCTTGAATGAGTAAGACCTTTGGTTAAAAGATCAGCAATTTGATCGGATGATGGCACATATCTAACTTCCAATTCCTTTGAAAGAACTTTGTCTCTAATAAAGTGAATATCCAACTTGATGTGTTTTGTTCTAGCATTGTAGACTGGATTGGCTGCTAGAGCTCCTGCACTTATGTTATCACACCATAGGATTGGAATTGATATTTGAGGCAGATCAAGTTCTTTAAAGAGGGATTGAATCCATGCGATTTCTGAGGCTGGTGAAGCTAATGATCTGTACTCTGATTCTGTACTGGATTTTGCAACCATGTGTTGTTTCTTTGATGACCAAGCTATTAAGCTATCTCCTAGATAGATGCAGTAGCCTCCAGTAGATCTCCTGTCATCAGGACAGGAGGCCCAATCTGCGTCTGAAAATCCATATAAGTTTAGTGTATCACTTCTCCGTATCCAGAGTCCTTGATTCATTGTGCCTTTAAGATACCTTAACACTCTTTTTAAGGCCTGCCAATGTATAGACGTTGGTGCTTGTAAGAATTGGCTGAGTTTGTTGACAGCAAAAGTAATGTCAGGTCGTGTGTGTGTGAGATATTGCAGGCTTCCTACTGCACTCCTATAAGTTGAAGGATTGCTCAGTGCTTCTCCATCTGATTTTGAAATAGTTTTGCCAGCAAGAATAAGGGTAAGACATAGCTTTAGGTTCTGCAGTTTGAATTTCGTCAGCATTTCAGCAATATACCTGGTTTGAGTGAGATGAATCCCTGAATCATGCCACATTACTTCAATTCCTAGAAAGTGGTGAAGTTGTCCCATATCCTTTAAGGCAAATTTTTTTGTTCAATTCATCGATGAAGCCTTGCAGTAGCTTTGTATCATTTCCTGTTACAACAATATCGTCAACATATATAAGTGCAAAGATGATCTGATTTTCACTCTTGAAGTAAAATAATGAGGTATCTGCGATTGATTGTCTGAACTTCCAGTTAAGTAGCGTTGTTTTCAGTTTCTCATGCCAAGCTCTTGGTGTCTGCTTCAGTCCATAGAGAGCCTTTTCTAGCTTACACACATGATGAGGTTTTGTTTTGTCAACGAAGCCTTCAGGTTGATTCATGAAAACCACTTCTTCCAGTTCTCCATTTAAAAAGGCGTTGTTAATGTCAACTTGCCTGATTGACCACCCTTTTGAGACTGCCAGGGTAAGTATAATTCGCAAGGTTGATGTTTTAACAACTGGACTGAAGGTTTCAGAAAAATCAGTTCCAGGGGTTTGATGAAATCCCTTTGCAACAA